AAGAAATGGAAGCTTGCCAATGGGCTTGTGACTGAGGTTGCAAACAGGTCCCCAGCCTCACTCAATTCTTGTGATGACAGCAGCCCCAGCTGACAACTTGACTGCAGACTCATGAGAGACCCTGAGCCAGGAAAACCCAGCTAAGCAACTTCCGGGCTCCTGATCCTCAGAAATTGTGTGAGATTGTAAATGTTTGTTGTTTTCAGCTGCTAAATTTTGGGACAATTTGTTATGGAGCAATAGATAACTAATACAGACTTTGGTACTCAGAAAGAAATGCTCAGTAACAAAGCTTAAAATGTGAGAGTGGCGTTGAAACTGGGCAGTGAGTTTTGAGGAGGGTGTGAGCAAAGCCTAAAGGACTTTGAAGGGGTTCTTGGAAACATCATGATCTTTGACAAGAATGTGAGGGCCTGTAGGAAAGTGAGGAAAAATCATATTGGAGCCTGGAGGAAAGGAAATCTTTTATTACAGAGTGTCAGAGAATTTAGCAACACTATAGCCTGTAGGTATGTGGAAAGTAGACTAATGAACAGAGAGGTCCAGCCAAGGAAATTTCTAACCAGAGAATGGTGAAAACCGCCTGGTTTCTTCTTGCTGCTTATTGTGAAATGTAAGGGAAGAGAGAGAAACTGAAGGTAGAATTGTTAAACAAACGAGGCATGACTTGATGGTTCTGAAAATTTTCAACCTCTCCCAAGAAGTGCTAAGGTGAAGAAATGGTTTCTGAGCAACAAATAAATGCCAGGAAAATATGATTGAAGGATGAAGAGTGTGGTAGTCAAGGCTTCAGAAATATCAAAGGGGATGACTCAGAAGACTATTCACTCAGGGCGAAGGCGTTCTAAAAAGGTGTGCCTCACAGTTCCTCTGAATCGAACAGTGGGATTTCTATGAGAATCAGAGTGGTTGCCCCTCGTGCTGTCAGTGGAAGTCTATGGAGGATGGTCTTTTGAAGAGATTTGTGGGTTTGGTTTTTGTCTAATGAAGTCGATTCCACAAAGATTCACAGAAAATAGACCTACAAAGCTTTAAAGGAGAAAGCAGAAAAATCATCTGCTTGGATTGAAAAAGACAGAGAGAGGCCTGTGGATTCCCAACACAACGTAAAGAGACCTTTGGATTCCTAAATTCTACTGGCAGGAAGCAGGCTGAGAAAACTACTCAGCTGCAAACATGTACTGTGTTTTGTGCACAAAGGAAGAAAGATGAGCAGGGTGGAGCCGAGAGCTCAGGGGACAGAGCTAAGAGCCATGGAGAGTTATTCTCAGACCTTGAGACTTAAAAAAAAATTAAAAACTGCCAATATTTGCTTATCTTGGTTGCACAATTGCTATGGACTGCTGGTCCTGACCTCCTGTTATTCGTGCTGTTGTGCAGTTTCTTCCCGCACTGTATCAGGGTTGATGAGTGTGACCAGTAGGGCACAGCAGAAGTGATGCTATGTCGCTTCCAAGATTAGGTTATAAAGGATGCAGCTTCCACCTAAGTTTGCCTTCTCTCATTCTCATTCTGCCATTATTTACCCTCACTAAGTATGTTGCTATTTGCCTATATGATAGTTCTTTCAGAATATCTGGATGAGTATTACTAATAAAGTTCCTATATATTATAGTTTGCATGGGCTAGTCGTGCAACATCAGTGAGGTTCTAATTATGCCTATTCTAGAAGAATTGTTTCCCATTTTACTCCCAAAATGTCCTGAATTGGATGATAAATTACATGATCACAATTATTATTAACATCTCTGGTGTCTCATGTGACTAGTCATATGCTCATTTACAACTGTGCCATTGTGTGGTATGTGTACCATTATGTGGCATGTTTGTGCATGTGTATATATCTGAGTGTGTGTGCATATGGGTGTATGTGTCTGTGAGAGAGAAAGGAAGAGAGAGAGAAGGTAACTAACAGAGAGGTCAGTTTCCATAATAAGGTGGCTGCTAAAGGTATGATTTCAATTGTTTTAGTTGTCTCCTGAAAACTTAACCTTTAAGAGTAAACATTACCTGGTTTTAGAAGAGCCAACTTCTACATTAGATGTGTCAAGTGTATTTTGAGTCAATCTTATTTCATTTCTGTTTTCTTTCATGCAGGATTTTAAATTTGAAGGGGAAGGACTCAGTCAATGCATTCCTATGTCATGTTTAAAGACTGGCAAAACATTGGAGAAGTATGCTCCTTAATGGTAGATTCAATGCATTTTCTTCTGTTTTGTTTGTTTAGCTATAGATTAAATATGGGTCAATTATAGGTGACAAGTCCCCCTTAGTTTGATTCACCTTAAGGGTCAGGTTTGTGGGTAGCAGGACCCCATTTCCTCCTGGGATTTATCTGTGTTTTTTCATCCATATATGATGGGTTGGGGATGGGGCATTACAGTCATGATAGCATAGCTGGGAGCTATGTCTTATCTCTCAGAAAATATCCAAATCTGAACTTCCAAAATTTGGATATGGCAGTTGCTGCTTTGCCATCCTAGTGTAAGTGATGCAGTCGTAGTGGGCATATGTTCTGAGGGGTTCTCAAGTTAGACATCTCACTTTGAATTTTAGACTTTTCCCTTTATGGCAATGTGACCTCAAACAAGACACTCAACATTCCATAGCATCAGTTTCTCATCAATTAAGCAGAAATAATAAAACCTTATTGGATTACTTAAAGGGTTAAATGAAATAATAAATACAGTGTATTTAAAAGAGTTCTTTGAACATGCTAAATACTCAATAAAAGTAATTAATGCTGTATCAGTGATTCTCAACAGGGATCAATTTTGGCCCCAGAGGACATTTGGCAATATCTGGACACATTTTTTGACAGTCACCACTGGGACTAAGGAGGTGTCTGTTAATGGCATCTAGTGAGCAAAGGCCAGGGATCTTTCTACACATTTTACAATGCACAGGGCAGCCTCCTAGACAAAGAATTATGTGGTTCAAAATGCCAGTAATGCGGAGGTTGAAAAACTCTGCTGTACATCGCTGCTGTTTATTCATTACCATTTTACTTAACTTCTAATCCTAATAGCAGTGAAAATAAATATCAGCTGCAATGGAACCTGTCTCTCTGTGAAGAGTATTCAGTGCCTTAGAGAATAGGCCATGGGGACAGGATAACATTGCTTAGGTGTCATTTCAACACTTAAAGTAGACATCATTGAGGTGTGGAGTTTCATGTCCCTCATGCCCAACATTTCTAATGATGACTTTAAACCAGGAAAGTGGCCAGAGATGTTTATGAGATTTTATATGCTTATGATAATGAAAATCAGAACTAACCTCAATATCCAACAATAGGGGATAATTTAAATAATTTAGAGTAGAATCTTAGAATTAAATACTAGTTCATCACTAAAATTATGTTATAGAGAAAAATTAATCTAATGGAGAATGTCATAATATACAAAGTGGAAAATACAGCCAAAAAAAAAAATATTTACAGCAGCAGCCTCATTTTGTAAAGAAAAAATGTGTTTACCTATCCAGCTGTGTGGCATAGACTTCAGCATTTTACCAGTGTTTGTCTCTTGGTTGTGGACTAATGGGAAGGCTTTTCATATAATTGAATTTTGCATAATGTAAAAGCATAAACATGTATTTATATAATCACATAATTAATAGTTGTTTGAATATGAGGGGAAGAAAGAATAACAATATACCTCAGAATCTAATTGAAACATGAGCTGACATCCGATCTGGCCCCTGGTCTGGGGTATGACTGGCCACAGTCACTAGTCTTATTTCTAGGTACCTGGTATCACGTTAAGCCTGTATATTAACCTTTCAGTGTGCACTGTGTTCCTTTTTAAGTAAAGAAGGTATTTTTAGAACACTTTTAATTATAAAGAACTAAGATTGCAGCGCAGAACCTTTTTTTTCTTCTTTAGGATAATAATCATGAATTCAGCAACTGATTATTTACATCAAGTTTTTAAGATATTTTATGAGTGCCTTACAATTCTTGCCAAAGGAACAAAGAAAGAAACTGAGGAAACCATCTCACGGTGGTTAACATAACATGTTTGATGTTTACTAATCAATTCTGTTTACCTTCATAACTGTATAATAGGGCCATTAAAGACAATAGATACAGTGGCTTAAAAGTAATAAAATTTACTACAAAGTGTATTTAATTTGAAATTGAATTGCCAGCAAATGGGTGTCCTAATGAACTCTTGTGTCAATGTAGCTGTAACCAAATTAAGGGAAATCATTTCTATTGCAGGAAAACTAAATCAGCTGTGAGATCCAAAAAGGCCATTCCTCTGGTGGGGGTACAGTCACTGTCACAGATGGCCCTGCTGATGGAATTAAGTTTAAGTCAGGAGAAGTGAAACACAGATCCTTCTTAATTCAAATGAATTTGGGAAAGCAGGAGATTGCTGTTAGGACTTGTGAAGGTTAAAAAAAGAAAAAAATAAATAGTCAATGAAGAAGGACCTCAAATAAAGTCAGTAGATGTTAGTAGCAGGAAAAAAGCCTGGGGAATATTTCGAGGGTACAAATAGTTCTTGATCTCTGGCCATGGCATTAAAAAAGAAAAAAGGCTTATGTCATTTTAGCTATTCATCTATTTAAGTGATTTCCCCCCAACCCCCGTCCCCAGAGTTTCTCTAGTGATTTGTAAGATTGAAGAGGGAGGGAGAGAAAATAAAGTGGCAAAATTCTTATCAAATATTTGATCTGGTCATTTCTGAACCAGGCCGCCTTTTAATTGTTGGGAGATCAGTAGCTGATACAATGAGTCTTATAGTTTATAGGGTCACATTTCAAAAGCTGCTCACCTCCCTAACTTTCTTCATCTGTAGTTATGTGGTGTTTATCTAATCCCAGTTAATCTGAACAAATGTTTAAGGACACTGTTAAATTGTGTTGTGGTTTCTAAGGCTAACGTTTTCATTCTACCCCTTTGCCAATTTCTCTTCCCTTTATTTCCCATCTTCCTGTAACGCTGTAGAGCTTCAAGTCAACCATTAATTGCACCCATAAATGCTTGTAAGGAAGACAGAGTAGCCAGGCCCGCCTCCTCCGAGAAGTAGCTCCTGAACCTAAGGAAGCAGCAGGACCTGGCTGCAAGGTGAGGCTCCTACCATTCACTTTTTCTCTGATGCGAACTGTTAAGTAATGAGATCAATTGTATCGACTTACCTCCTGTTGTGTTTTTCCTCCCGTAGGACCGTTCAGAGAAACAGAGTTTGGCAGGTCTTAATAAACATTTTTTTGTGGGGAATTTGATGCTAAAAGTGCATGGCTAAAACTCTCAATGACAAAGCCATTGGAATTCCTCAAAATGGTGTCCATGGTACCAGGCTGAGTTCTCACTCGACAATGTGGCTGGCCTGCCACGGTGCAAATGAGACGAGGTTTGAGATTTGATGAATCTTCTATCTCCCTTTTCTACTCATCTGACACTCGCTTTGAAGAAGGTTGTAAATGCAAGAGGGATTGTGGTATAATTCCTCAGACTGGCATTTCTGCCCCCTAGTCACCATTCGATTATCTTCCAAATTGCTGTGTTTCAGAGAGATAAAGATTTTTTATGGCTTGCTGACTTGAAACAACCACAAGAGCCAGCAAAGAGATGGCTAAGCAGCCATGCATAGTAATTCCATTGGTAAATGACAAAATCTTTGTTTGTATGACATTTCCAAAATTACTACAGAAGATGAATCTAAAATACAAAATGTCACATTTGGCATGCAAAACTATCACAGTATATTTCAGTATAAAATTCATAGAGGCATTTAATTTAGAATGTGTTTAATAACTCAGTCTGCCTGCATCAGTAATCCTGCCTTGAGGTTTAAAAAGATTGTCTTATTTATTCACATGGTGTTAATTTTAAAAATATTTTTGGGAACCAAAAATATTAAGGTTAAGTCTTTATTGTTAATTAAGATTTTCTAATTAAACTCAAAATAATTGTTATTTTTATTAGTTTGTAAGTATGACTTGTATGAAGAAACAAAAGAAGTTAAGCAACTTTCACTGTTCATTTAACTGTGATTTGATTCCAGAAGCATACTTTCTATGTGGAAATGTATATTATCTCTTACAAAATAAAAGTCTAGGCAGGATTAAAATGTGCTTCCTGTTGGTCTCAGATTAACTGGTGGTGCTGTTAACTTGGTAGCCAAGAGAGTGACCTGCTTTGAAAAAATGACATCATTTTTACTTAAAGCACAATGCAATAGAGTTTTTCGAGGTTAAATTATTCTGAAGACTATTAGGGACGTGTGAGTATAGAAAACATGCCTTAATGACATTTGAGTTATTTATAATTCCAGTTTAATTTGTGTTTAATCTGAAACAATAGTCCATTAAAAATCTTATCACGTTGTATAAAGTTGTCATCACCTATTCAAAATGAAAAGGGCTTGTTTCCATCAGTTGCAGGTAAGAAATGAAATTCAAATGTTCTGTAAAATATTCCTGAGTCACGTTCTTCAGTTATATGAAATTTATGCTGAGAGTTTTAGGTTAAAGTACATACCCGTGCTATGCCTCCACCCCTTTAATTTTTGATTCTCATTTGAAGCCACTGGGGCAAGTTGACCTAATGTTTAAATTGAACAAAAATATTCCGTCAGAGGAGGTGTCATTTTGACCTGTTTTGTACTTTTGTCATCAGTGTGGCACGTGGTCTGTGATGCGTGTTAAAAGTAAGGGCGCTCACCTTCAGATCTCGAGTTTGAAGCATACTGCTTGCTCCTGCTCACCCACCCCAGACATCTTAAGAGGCATGCGGTGTGGTTTTTGCAAGTGTTGGTTTCCTGTTAATTCTATCTTATTGTAATAGATGAATGGTTTCTGATGTTACAGATCATTAACATACCGTGCTTAAAAACCCGGCCAAACTTTTCCCAGGCATAATTGGCAGGCTTGCCTTTTGACCTCCTAATTATACATCATGTGCCCTCCTCTGTTATCACTGCTAATACCTGACAATTACAGGTTGAGTAAAAATAATTGTTTAGTTCTCCTCCCCCTCCCCCAGAAGCGCATCGTGGCTAATTGTGCGGTTTTTACCCACTTCCTGCATAATTCAGGAAACCTGCCTTGTCTTTATATTGAGCAGGCTCAGCCACCTCAGCCTCTTCAAATACAGATGAAATGCCTACAGGGCCTCAAGAACAAGGGTCCCCGAGGCTCCCGCCTCCTCACACACAGTGTCCCTGCTTGGTCAACTGGGCGGCTGTGTCTTGCACTGGTGGCAAATGGAACAGCTGAAGACCAGAACACATCCATTGAGGCACGATGAAAACTTTTATGACATGGGGCTCTGTTTCCATGAAAGCCTTTATGTGGAAGCTTGTCTTTTGCACACATCACGTTTCATTCAGCTTCCTTGCTCTCCTTTTCATATCTGTCGATATGGCTTTAGATACTCAACTTTGTGTTGTAAACAGAAAGGATTTCATTCATTCAGCAAATACCCAGTCTGCACCCCGATGCGCCAAGCACTGTGCTGCAGGCCACGCATGGACCCCCGAAGTCCTGCGGGAAATGGCAATGCCATGATTATTTATCAAGAACATGCATTATGGATGCTTGGTGTAGCTCTGCCTTCTCAAGATGCCCATGCTGAGAAATCACTGGGATGTGTGCTGTGTACAGTGCATATATGTGTGTAGGCAACCAGGGACACTTGGTTACAGTTGAGAACCAAGCTTTAGGTGAGAAGAGAAGCTGGAGGGACTATTTAGAAAATGTATTACGGATATAGGGAATGTGTTTACCATGCAAAGGGATTCTAGAGGAGGCTGCTGAGGGTCAGATTAGAGAGTGATCCTGGATGCAAGGATGCGAAGCAGAGGTCAGAGATAAGTAAGTTCCTTCTGGAGGCAGAAGGGAAAGCTCAGCATTCTCTGGGGCCTCAGACCAGGACAGATTTGCCTTCTCCGGAAACTTCAGCCCATGGAAAAGAAAGGAAGAGGCTGGGTTAGTCCCAGAACAGTTATTACCTGCTGAGGCACTGGTTGCCAGTAGGAGCACAATATGTTCCCAAATATAAAATTGCCAATGTGAATGAGTAAAACAGGCATTAGAAGAGTCCATATGGGTATCAAAGTGTGATATTTAAGAAAAAATAATTTCTCTCTGTAATAGGTAGGAGCGTGCGTTCTTTCCCCATTTCCCTTAGGTCTTGTGTTAAAAGGTATCCTTTTAATTAATCTTGGTGTGTGGTATTTCATTAAGGGTGGTAATATATTATTCACATGAATATACTCTTCAGATAGTGTATTTATTCTGGCCATTGAATGACCAACTGAAAAAAAAAATCAACATGGGAGTATAGCTGTAAAAATGAGCAATTGTGTGAAGTGGGTCTGTAAACTACAAAGCTGGCGTGCCATTTACTTCCAATCTCTGAGAAGAAAACAGATTTTCGATATCCAAGTTTTTTCCACCTTTCCTTTTTTGATAACTAAGACTTTTTGAAGAGAGTGGCTGGGTGTTTTGTTTGTTTGGGGTTGTTTTGTTTTTACTGAGCAACAACTACATAGCGAATTTAAGAAATGGGAAAAATACACAGTGTCCGTAAAAGGCACACCATTGAATAACAGGTGCAAAGTCCCATGACCACTCTGCTGTTTGAAAGTTGTTGGGATTAAAACAAAAACAAAAACAAAAATCAGTCTTTCATTGGGAGCCACATGCTAAGTAGACTTTTAGTGAAGTTCTCAGCTTAACCCTGAGCCGAATTAAACTATCTCCTTTAGACATGGTCTGGAGGACTGGTAGTGATGGTGGTGGTGATACCAGAAACACAGACTTAAACTCTTCCTGGGGAAAGAATTCTTCTTTAGGGAAAAGCCCGTAAACTCCTACCTACTGGATTTTCATTTTAACATACATGACAAATGCTTCTATTTCAGATGACTTCCAAATTAATTTTATTATTTAATGAGTGATCCCAAAAGCCTCGTGTATAAGTGTTAGTGGTGTGAGAGGAGTTAGTCTAGGGTGGGTATGGACAGAACAGTCCCCCTAGGGGAGCCCCTACCTCTGCAGAACCCAGCTTTGAGGACAGAAACCAAGAAGGCAGCAAGTTTAGTTCTGTCCCTGTGCTGAGGTCTTGGTTCTTACCATTCACCTTAGATGCATTTCAGGAATACTACTAAAAATTTTAGTTCATTTTGGAAAGACCTCAATCTGTTCCTTCATGGGAAATGACATTGTTTTGGTACACATTAATTAAGTACCTAAATTTTTAAAGCATGAAGCTAGACTACAAAATATGTTGTCCAAAGAGCAAAATCTATCATTCCTGAAAGAGCCATCTGCGTAACTGTTCTATGTCCTAAGGTAATATGAAGTGTTTTTATTATTGTCACTGTTGGTGTAGATGCCCATCCCAGGCACCTCCCAGCAGAGTGTGGACTCTACGTGCAGAAGCCACATATACCAGCATCTTTGTTTTGAGAATAGTCCTTGTTTGCTGTTGAATGAGCCTAATATATCACATGATACAGATCAAATGCGAGGAGAGATTAGAGAAAAAAGAACTGGCTCAAGGACATCCTCAAGGAGTGGGGACAAAACCACTAGGAGAGGATGTTGCAAAAATGTTCACAGTGTTAAAAGTTTATCAACTCTAGAGGGGAAAGCAGAGGCTGGTCTTGCCTCCAACAGTAAAAATGTGTTTTCCTCTTCCTACCAAACAGAACAAAAAATATCTTGAAAGAGTTGAAATAACAGCTCCCAAATTTTCTTCCCCTGTGTCAGAGGCAAACAAAAATAATTACCTCCTGCCATAGCCAAGGAAAATTTATTCTTTAACAGCCTGACAAAATGTCACTGAATTACATCCATCCCTTGGTATCACCTAGCAAAATCCTAGATCCCTGAAGAACTAATCTAGGCTATTTCACATTCAGTGTATATAAGAAAAGAACAAAATTCATGATAAAAACAAAAACAAGAAAAGCACCAAAACCCCAAAAACTTGACAGGAGAGAGAAGTCATGGGAGGCTGTTTGATTTCAGAGTAAAAATGCTGTCACTCAAAGTCCTGTTCATTCCATTGGTGCTACCCAATAACAGCAAATTTTCTCACTAACCACACAATTCTGCCTGCCACTCACTCTACTGGCAGTTTATTGGAGACTGACAATTAAAACAGCAAGTTTTCAGGGAATGTATTTTTTTGATAATAAAAATACACACATGAAAACACAGAAATATGCATTATCTTTATAACTGATGTAGGAACATTTAGGATATTTGCATCATTACTTTTAGTGCAAGCCTAAGATTTGGTTATCTGCATTCAAACTCCATGAACAGAAGAAATTGGCTTCCTGTGATCATTTGAGAGTGCAGGGTACCTTGCACAGGCTACCTGAGGAGAGACGGTCACTATTCCTATGTAGAAAAGGGGGACTGAGAAGGCATTGTCCAAATGAAAGGGCAAGTCCTAATTACAGGGAAAGCACTAAGTCGGCTGAGGGAATGTCTGCACTTCACACCTGTTTTGCTTTTTGCAATTGCTAATGGGTCTGGGGATGTGGGCATGATGTCACAGCATCCAACGTGGCTTCCCTTTCCTATCTGGTTGAGCCAGGAGGCAAACACTTAAAGGTTGAGGTGAGAAGGCTGCTGTTTCTCTTATGAAAAAGAGCCTACGGGAGGCAGCATAATATACTGGTAAGCCCAAAGGTAACACCACTGCAAACATCCACAATATTATTTCCAGATACTATCACTTGGATTTTGTGCCAAATAATTCCATGTCTTCACATCAATTTTTCCTGTATTGTAAGGTGGAGATGGTCAAATTCAATGAGTTGGCTAACAAGTCTGAGCTTCAGTCCCCTTATGTAATATCAGGTAATAACAACTCCCTTATTTACATTATTGTAAGAATAGTATTCAATTCAATTCAATTATGAACTCTAAACTTAGGTCCATCTTGCTTGAAGATTTTGAATAATCCCTTAGTAGAGACATTTGGAACCTAATTGTTTTCTGACATTAAAACTGGAAATTTTTCAAGTAGAAAACATTGCCTTCTTTGTTGATTGTTTTCATCAGCCGTGAATCGGCTAGGGTTTTGGGAAGAAATATACCAAATCATATGCTTTTGGACTTTAGGTTCTGGCAGGATGATAAAATAAATTAACCATTAAGATGATCTTAGTCCAGCACCCTGCCAGAAACAGGAGTCAAAGGCATATTTTATTTTCAGATTATGTTCTATAAACACCTGGAAATTCTAGATGACATATGGGCAAAAGGCTTGTAGATGCATAGATAATTACTCACAAAAGAAAGGCACCTCTGGGATATGAGAAATGAAGAGGAAATTGAAAACCAGTTATGGAAGTGAGTAAACTTGGGCTGGGGCTGCCTGGGAGAGAGGAGAGATCTCAATGACCATCCAGAAGATAAGGTCTTCAGCTCATTAGGTACTGCATATTGAAAGGGTCTCCTGCATAAATACAGGATATTCAATACTAATCTAAAAAGGATAGATTAGACAAATATATCTGCCCACCAATAGAGGGAAATAATCAGAAACTCCTCTTTATCTAGGCTCTGCAGAAATGTTTATTTCTCCTGAAAAATCTAGCAATAAAATTCTTATAAAGGGAAAAATACAGTAATTGAGATTAAAAATTCAAAAGACATAATGTACAGATTAGACCCTCTGAGCAGGGAAGTAATGAACTGGCAGCCAGATGTGAGGAAATTTCCTAGTCTGCCACACTGAGATCAAGTAATGGAAAGAGTGGAGTGATTTGAGAAGCTGTAGAAGAGAAGGTCTATCATACATCTTATAAAACTTCCAGAAGCAGAGATAACATTCCATGAAGAGATAACAGCTATTAATTTCCCAGACTTGCTGGAAGACACAAACTTTCAGATTAAGGGAACAGCAATTCTGAGCAAAGTAAAATCAATCCACGTGTGGATACGTTGTAGGGAAACTGCAGACAGCCACAGTAGAGGGTGGAGACAATTGAACAATATGTTCAAAATTCTAGAAGAAAATTAGCTTGAAGAGATAGTTACCTAACCTATCATTCAAGAGTTGGAGTGAGGTGTTCCAAATGAATAGGAACCCTTTTCACTAAGAATATTGTGTTAGTTTCCTAAAGATGCCAAAACAAAGTGTCACAAATGTAGTGACTTAAAACAACGAATTTTACTCTCTCACAGGTCTGGGTGCTAGACATCTGAAATCAGGGTGTCAGCAGGGCCATGCCCTCTCTGAAGATTCAAGTGAAAGAACAGGTGGCGCCCCTCTTCTAGTAATCCCAGGTAGCCCAAGGTGTTCCTTGGCTCATAGATCCATCGC